GTGTGTGAGTGTGTGTGTGTGAGAGTGTGTGTGTGTTCAGGTAAACAGCATTTGCATATTTATGCAACGGCGGTGACGTCACAAAGGTTAAGCACGCGCATTCGCTTGTTAAAAAAAGTGCTGCGTGATACAGCGACCGTTTTTAATGTGTGTTTTTTAAGCATTTTGATTAAGTTCGATTGTTTTAATACAAGTGTTTAATCTATTTATATTCTGATTTATTTCAGTTGATGGATTTCCTGCTAGATTCTGTGGTAATAACAGTGAGTCTGTGTCTGTGTTCAGCTCTCAGTCGGACGAGCGTCTGCGAAGAGACCCGAGATACGAAACAAGCGCCTCGAACCACTGAACACGTGCCTCACAGGTATGACACCACCATCATAGTGAGCCTCACTGTCTACACGGTGTCTGAACTCAACCTCACGTTAACGGAGTAGCTCACCCTAAAATCTCCTCACCCTCAGGCCATCAGAGATCAGGATGAGTGTGTCTCTTCATCAGGTGTGGAGGAATGCAGCATCGCATCAGTGTCTCACTGCAAGTGAATGGGTGCCGTCAGAACGAGAGTCTGATAAAAACACCACAATAACCCACAGCACTCCAGTCCATCAGTTAACATCTGGAGGAGACACACGCTGAGACACATCCAGCATTAAAACGCTTTTATGAATCAATAATAACTCTTCCTCCGGTGAAAAAGCTCATCTGCTGTTGTCTCTTACATCAGAGTGTGTGTGTGTGAGAGAGTGTGTGTGAGAGAGTGTGTGAGTGTGTGAGTGTGTGTGTGTGAGAGTGTGTGTGTGTTCAGGTAAACAGCATTTGCATATTTATGCAACGGCGGTGACGTCACAAAGGTTAAGCACGCGCATTCGCTTGTTAAAAAAAGTGCTGCGTGATACAGCGACAGTATTAATTTTTTTTATTGCAATAACAACAAACAAAGATTACAGTACGTGCAAAACATACCAAAAACCTTATGATAATAAATTAATTATGGTTTAATAGTTAACAGAAGAAATAATATCATATAAAAAATTCTTAATAAACCCACAGCACTCCAGTCCATCAGTTAACATCTGGAGGAGACACACGCTGAGACACATCCAGCATTAAAACGCTTTTATGAATCAATAATAACTCTTCCTCCGGTGAAAAAGCTCATCTGCTGTTGTCTCTTACATCAGAATCCAGCCACATGGAGAAGATTTTTTTTTGCAGTAAAAATATATTTTTAAGTTAATTATTAGCTTTTTATCAACAAGCCCACTGCAGTTCTTGAATTAAGCCCAGTTTTGGAAAACCCTGGTGTAATGAATTTAATAATGTTGATATAAAAAAAATGAAATATATTTTCTTTCTCTTTGCTTTTTTATATCAGAATGGTATGTTTAATTGTAAGTTCAAAACAAGTTAGATAAAAAAAAGTAATCTAAAAACTAGTCAGAATAAATTTACTAAAATGGATAGCCTAGATTACATTAATAACTACAGTTTTCATGTAATCTGTCATCACTAATGGACTACAGTTTGTAAGTAATCCACGCAGCTCTGCATATCAGCATCATTTCTTATCTCATATTGTCACCTGACAGAAATGTTTCCATGGTAACCAGGTGCTTCAGCCTGCTGTCGTGGATTGGTAACCACACACGCACGAAGCTCATCTGCTGTTGTCTCTTACATCAGAATCCAGCCACATATGTGTTTAGAGCTGTTTAAACGCTGCTTGATCTGTGCAGATTTCTCTCCTGATTCACACCAGAACACTTTTTCACCGGAGGAAGCGTTATTATGAATTATGGACTCGATGTATTTTAGTTGAAAACGTCTTAATGCTGGATGTGTCTCAGCGTGTGTCTCCTCCAGATGTTAACTGATGGACTGGAGTGCTGTGGATTATTGTGATGTTTTTATCAGACTCTCATTCTGATGGCACCCATTCACTTGCAGTGAGACACTGATGCGATGCTTCTTTCCTCCACATCTGATGAAGAGACAAACTCATCCTGATCTCTGATGGCCCGAGGGTGAGGAGATTTTCAGCAAATGCTCATTTCTGGGTGAACTGTTCCTTTAAGACCTCCAGAACAGCCTGGTGTTAAAGTGTTGCATGCTTTTCTGTTTCCGGTTGCTCAGTATAATGTCATGTGACTCATGAGAAGAGATGCTTTGACCGCTCTCTGGTCTGTTTTCAGTGCGGACAGGAGCTGACGCGAGGAAGCCACCGCCGTTTTATCCTTGTTGTGTTGTTCTGTTATTCTGAAATCAGGCTTTTTATCCGCTGTTGGAGGGAGTTTTATCCTGTGGCCGTTGCTGTTATTTATTGACGCTGATAAGAAGAGCGTTTTGACCGTCCTCGTGCCATGATGTCAGTGTTTTTGCCCTCTTTTAATACTTCAGACGCAGAAGACGAGAGAAAGACTAATAAAGCGGCGATGTTTCTCCCGTCAGTCCATCATCAAACACGCTTTGATTTCTGATTAGGTTCATGCCTTTCCTTTTATCACAGAGCTTTAAATCACATCAGGCTTCAGCTGTGTGTTTTGCAGACGCACCACAGCCACAGCCTGAACTATTCGAGGGAAGTTTGCCTAAATATAGTCTGAAAATGCAGCAGATTTAGCCCCCTAGACGCCTCCCAGACCCATGTTTGTTCTCTGTTGTGTTTGTACGATGCAACACAATCAAGTACATTAAACCCCAGCATTAAAATGTTTAAATGGTGTGTTTTTATACACGGGGCAGCTGCATTATATTCATACAGTAACACTCTTTCACACACACACACACACTATATCTGATCTGAATCCGGTGCTAATACGACAGACGCTGTCTTTAACGAATGCATTAGCCGTAACACGTTCTAGCTCAGGCTTGTGTTATTAAGCACTTGCATGTGTGGATATTACAGTGAATATGCATTAAACTCATCTTCAGCACTCCCTGGAGCTTGTGTTGTGATTTCGTTGGATTGTTGTGTTCGGCTTTAATAAATGAATATGTCAATATTGATTTAATAGTATTCTTACGGTGTAGAAATAATACTATTTATGAATTTAAATATTAAACTGAATACTGTATTTACTAAATATATTAATACTATTGTTTTATATATATATATATATTATAACAAATTAACAATGGTTTTACAACAAAAATGGCAAACTTTTGCTACACTTACCATAGTTTAACCATGCTATTTGTAGTAAAACTGATCATCAATACGCCAAAAACCCTAGTTACTACACTTTTACTATAATAAAACCATGGTACATTTTCTTAAGGGATTATATACATACATTTTTTTTTTTGCACCGTCAAAATAGTTGTGTATCAGCCAAATATTGTCCAATCCTAACAAACCACACATCAATGAAAGCTCATTTATTCAGCTTCCAGATAATGCATACACCTCAATTTCAGAAAATTCAGAACAAGTTTAGGACTCCTAATATGGCGGAGCTCATGAATTATAATTACGCAACGTGACATGCGCCGGTCTGCTGGCCAATGAGCGAAGCGTGCTGTGGACGAGGCGTGGCTCATGAATATTAATATAGATATGACCGTTATTTCTCAACGGCTCTGACAAGCAAAGTCAGAAGGACTTGATTAATATTCATGAGCGGTGGTGTCGCCACAGCAGACCCGTAATCCAACGCTAACCGCTGCTGAATGACAAGCGGCTGTTCATTTCAACGCCTCTGGGTGATTAGTTGAATTATAAATACTATTACACTGTTTCTAATCACTAAGGGCGCGCGTGACGCGTCGATGGGCGTGTCCGGTGAACCAAACGTCACGCCTCCAACCGACAACGTTCCGCGTCAGACTCAGTCCCGAGAAGCTGAACGTTACCGACGCAGAACCGTCTTCAGCAGCGAGCGCACTCGGCGGCGGAGAAGCCAGACGGGTCCAGATGTGTGGCTGTTAATGCGCCGATCTCAGGGAGTCACGCGCCATGGCTCGGGTCGGTAACGGCGCGGAACCGGAGGAGGTGAGTGTCTGATATCTGACCGCAAACACCGGCCGTGTCTCCGAGCCGCTCGATGCTGACGATTAAACGACGCTTGTGTGGCGGAAGCGCTATTTAGGGCACTCGTTAGGCGTCGAGATGCTGGCACACTACATAGGGCTCTTCCTCTCAGACGCGGAAGAAGCTGTGTGTTAGTCTAGATTTCTTCATAAACTCGTCTGTCACAGATTTAATTACATATTGACAGATGTGTGTGTGTGTGTGTGTGTGAGAGAGAGAG